AGTTTAGCTCCAGCTTTGTAGATTTCTACAATCCAATATGAAATTCCTGCCAGCTGCTGAGAAAACACACAGATGAGATTTCTAATCAGATTTCAGGGAATGTGGCACGTTGTCAAGGTTTCATTTCAGGCCAGATAGGAGGGAGGAACTAAGAATGGGGCTGCAGAACAAGATGGAAATGTCAGGTGCTTGAAAGTAAATGTGACACTCAGGCTCTAAACAACTGGATGATGCCACAATGGCCTCTGTTTGTTTTTGCTTTTTGTAATTCGGGAAAAGTGAATTATACTTAAGCAAAACAAATTCATTGCAGATTATACATATATGAATGCATATCTATAAATATACCGATATATACACACATATATGAATATACATGGACATATGTCTTTCTTTTCTGTAATTAGAAATTTTCATGCTATGTAGCAAAGCCTTGATATACACACCCATCTTCTCACTTACTTGGTGTTATTAATGTAAATAAATTGTTTAAAATTCTTACTATGATATAGTAAAGCCCATAATTATGATCCATTCATTGTCAAGCATTAGCTACTGCTATTGCATACAATACATTGAATGATGTGACCATTAGCCATTCACTAAATGGATCTCCATTCTAATAAATTAAACAGTTTTAAGGAAGAATTTCATAAGCTTATGGGAGTATTTTAGGGCAACAATTCATTAACTAAATATAAGTAATTTATCTTTTTCTTCCATATTAGGAATCTTGTTGCTGTGGACAATATATTAGAAAAATAACTTTTGCTGTTTTTGCAAGTCACCCATGAGAAGGAAAAACAGTGATTATTTAATCTGACACTTCCAAAAGGATGAAATTGAATATGTAGAGCTACGTTAATGTATGAAATTCAAAAAAGGGCTTTCTGGGTTGGTACAACTATTTTTAAGTTCTTCTATCCTTATGAGAATTACAACCTTGTGTAATTTAAAACATTACACCCCCTGTATTTCCTTGGTTTGAAAAAATATGAGCAGATTTGACTTCACGTTTAGGCAAGAGCATGGTTAGCTGATGAAAGGGCAGATGTGACATGCTAGTAAGTGACAGCCCAGGCTAACCGTGAGATCAT